CAGCCAAAATAAGAGCCTTTTGTCAACTTACAGTTTCTATCCTGGTAGCTTCCAATTATGTTGTCAAGGTCATACGCACTTGCAAAGGGGCTGGAGCCATCGATCACTGACACCTAGGCATCAACAGAGAAAAAAGACAGACAGATCAAATACCAGATTAGTGACAGGTCATTTTAATATTGTCCATTCATTTTACACTATAATGCAGGGCTTTTCAGTCTGACACTGGGGACACCCCCAGAAAAAAAAAGGCCGGCAACAAACTGGAGACCAAGACACGAGTCTAAAGGTTTGAGTACGATACCAAAGGCTGACATCAGGGCAGCTGGACTGAAGGCCAGTGACAGGGCAGCAGGGCTGGAGCCCATCCAGAAGAACCAGAAGTGGCTGCTGCAGTTCAGTTATAGAGGCAGAATGTTGTTGCAACTCAGCAGACTCAGCAAGTTGTTGCAGCTACTCAGCAGAGTGAGGGATGTGCTGTAGCACAGGTGTTAAAATCATTTGCAGCTCTGTGACTGAAGCAGGAGGTCTCTGCAGCATTGCAGTGTCAGGGTGCTGCAGTAGTGCAATGGTGACAGGGATCTGCAGCAGCTCAGCAGTGTCAGGGGGTTGGCTGACAGGCAGGCAGGTAGCTAGTCACCGATGCACAAGCAGGCTGGGGAATCAGGTAGTTAGATGCTAGCTAGCAGGAGACACAGAGTCAAGTTTAGGGCTAGCGTGCTGGGAGCTAGCAGGGGTGACCAGGAACCTCTCTCCCCTCCAGGTCACTGATTCCACAGCCACGGAATTGTAGACAATGCTTGTGATTCCACCAGACGCAACGCAGTGTGTTTCAGAAGCATCCCAGAAGTGGCTCTGCTCCGCCGAGAGCATACACAGCAAATCTATTTTAGACAAAAGCCCCGTCAAGCAGAACAGAGCAGATGAACCAGGCAGAAAGTCAGACACAGAAACGGCACATAGAATCTAGCCAATTTAACACCCTGTGAAGACTCCCCATCATATTCAACAGTTAACACAATTAAAACAGACAAAAAGTAACCATTAACTACATAGCCTACATAGTGTCATTAAATGGTCTTCAAATGACATTAATATTGTCTATCGCAATTATTTCTGGGACAGTATATCGCCCAACAAAAGTAGTTATTGTGACAGGCCTACATGCAGGTACACAGGCTGCTGGCATGATCAATCGCAGACATAAACAAATGCACTGTCAGCAGAGTGGCATATTTTACAAACCAAGAGCAAACTGTTATATTAAGACAAATACGACATAGTCTAAGTAACACAGCTGGAGAGAGAAAACCGCCGATAGTGTGAATGCCTGAATGAACAGGCGTAGCCTATAAAAATGTGTTGATTTGATGTGTTCTTATGGCGTCTACGTAAACATCAGCCTTATTCTTTCAGCCTTATTCTTTCAGCTCAGCTGTGGTTGCTCCACCTCACCTTTTAAGAACTTTTTGTTACTTCAAAAATGAGATTTATTTGACGCACTCAAAAGTGTCCCACACATTGTTCTAAATGAACTTCATAAAGCAATTGTTCATCTCAACAATTAGGCTACTGAAAACTCCCGTACATAACCTGCGCTCACAACGCAAGAGGTGGGGCACTACGTGACCAGTCTGTAAGATAGCTACTAACCTAAAATAAAAAGCCTACGTTCATATTAAATCTTTTTAAAATATCACTACCAACTGCTCATAATATTCATAAAACTTGGAATGTTTAAACTCTCTCAATGAAGACTTTTATGGGGCTGGGGAGTCTACAATTGACCTTAGCATGGGAATAGTCAGGGGTAGGATATCAGCGGGCGTGGCTGTCCTATGGAATAAGAAGCTAGACTCAATAATAAATGTGTTTTTTTTATCTTAAATGTGTATACACCATATCAATGCTGTCAGAATGAGGATGAATATTTAAATAGGCTTGCCTTCATCAGTTCCTTTATTCAAAACATTAACACCTCTTGCGTTTATGTCATTGGAGATATGAATGCGGATATCTCGGATAAGAAGTCACGATTTGCCAAACATAATTCAATTCTGTGAAGATAATCACATATTGTCAAGCAGAGTATTGTTGCCCACAAACAGTTGTACTTACATTAGCGAGGCCTGGCACACTACATCATGGCTGGACCACTGTATCAGTACAGCTGATGCACATGCCTCCCTGGGGTGTATGTACATTTTGTATGGGGTAACAACATGTGAGCATATACCTCTTGCTATGGTGAGAAATGCTGAACAAATACCTGTGCTATCCAGATGTGGAAACAGTGTCAACACAGAAGTATTAGACTGGTCAACACTCAAAAAGGAAGACATTTCTGCCGATTATGCACATACAGATAAGTCATTAGGTAATATCCAACTACCTCTAGATGCTGTGTAGGGACATTAACTGTGGATGAGAAGCATAGGAGAGATATATGCTCCATGTATGCTGACATAGTTCATGATCTATATGAATGCAGTAAGCCCTATTATAAACATAAAAGAACCATAATAACAAGCCTGGCTGGAGGGAGTATGTGGCTGGATATCATACGGAGGCACAAGAGGCCACTAAATCATGGGCTATTGCTGGTAGACCTCGACAAGGTCCTGTGTTTGAGCATAAGAAGCTCACTAATGCAAAATATAATTATGCCATTCGCTTTATATATAAAAATGAGCAGGCCATGAGGGCTTCCATGGCAAGGAAGCTCATAGGTAACAATGTTAATGATTTTTGGAAAGAAGTGAGAGTTCTTAACAACTGCAAGACATTTCTACCATGCACTGTTGAAGGAATCTCCGGACCAGACAAAATTGCAGCAGTTATGGCGACAGCACTTTAGTTGGATTGCATTTCTGCTGAACATCTTAAAAATGCCAGTATAAGACTAGCTCTTTTGCTCGCCATTTGTTTTACTGTTTTTATGATACAGGGTGTATTGCCAGACTTAATGTTGGCTGTTGCATGTACGGTTGGTGTAAAGATATCTCTGTTTAAAGCATATTGCACACCTTTCTATACTGCGCACTTGTGGTCAAATTATAGAAAGGCAAGTTTATTGAAATTCAAAGTAGCATATAACTACGCAATGACAATATTACTCACACGACCAAGATGGTGTAGTGCAAGTGAGAAGTTTGTGGCTGCAAGAGTAAGGACCTTTCATGCTCTTTTAAGAAACCTAATGTTTAGATTCATGTGCTGGTTTAATGGGTCACAAAATGAAATAATAATGGGCTTAACTAACATAAGGCTAAGTACTACACGATACCAATACCGTATATAGAAACACTGGTATAATTGTCTCCTGGTAGAACAACGATTTTCTTTTGAAATAAATTTTATACTTTTCATTTTTCTAACCATGATTTACTATGGTATTTTTTTATATGTAGGTATATGTGAATGCATGTGCGTTTGTGGATATGTTTTTATGTATTATTGTGGGTGAGATTTGGACCTTGAGTATGTAATAAAGTTTTGATTGATTCATTCAGCCTCACATAAGTAAAATGAAACTCATTTAATTAAATGGCTGCAACAGGCTTTGTGAAATGGACTTGGGAGCAAATAAAAAATATAAAACACATTTCAAAGCAGTAAGTAGGCTTACTGTAAAATCCTATAATAAGTAGTAGCTTACAAGGCTTTCAATCAGTCTCTGTAGGATGATATCGCTATGCTAAAGTTTCTCCGCATCACCACAGCAAACATAAGCAGCCTATAAAACAGTCTGCAGGATCTGCTACAGATAGTGATTTCCCAAGAGAGCGGATTGCTCAGTAGGCGGCGTTTTTATAGAGTTGATCTATAACATAACCTGATCCGGAGCAGGTTAGCTGTTCAGTATAGGTTACCATGGTGATCTACCCCAGTAAGAAGTGACCACAGTACTGGTACTGAAAACCCAGGGTTAATCCTGAAGTTATCTGGATAAGCTCAAATCCGGCTTTGTGGTACAGGCCCCTGGTAATGATGATGCAAAAATCCAGCAAGCAACAAGGACCACGGTTGAAAGGCAGAGGACAAACAGGATGGCAAACAGGATGGCAAACAAGCAGATAGCAAACAGGATGAACTAATATTGTGACAGAGAAGTGACTGGGTGTATGTGCTGAGTGGCTGATGAGGTAATTAGTTGCATGTGAGGAGTGGCCACAGTAGGCCATGTAACTGCAGGGCTGATTAGGGAAGTGAGAATGGGGCTGTGGTGAACAAGTTAATTGTAAATAATTGCCCTTTCCTAACCAAATAATCCAAATGGTTGCCACAAATATTTGAATATCCTAATTATTGTATGTATATATTCCATTATATTTACTGGAGATTATCCAGCTTGATACTTGCCTGTGACTGAAGTGAAATGAATTAACGATATTGCTGAATTTATCCATTTCAAAACAGTATGAATATGACTTGTATAAAAAATATTATATCAAATACACATCATTCGTTTGATCTAGCTCCGACAGACGGCTTATGCACTTTTATTTTGAAGGCAGCAACGTAACAAAAATAACAACACAGAGAAGTTTGGCAGAAGTTAGCAGACCGAGAGCAATCACAACTTGGATTAATTTTTATGAAAAGCTGTTTTGATTCTTTTTATCGGTGGACCCTTACAGACAAAAGGAATATTAATAATCAAGGAATGGACACAGTCTGACTTAATGAGCTCTTCAAAAGGTAACGGAAGTCGGCACTTTTTTTCCCTCATCTCTTGTACCATGTTGGTCACACCGGTAAGTCTGTATGAATCAAACTTTGGGGCTCGTTGTTTCCGTTGCATGTCCACTGACATCTAGGCCTGTGTTTGTCAAAATGTGTTCCCATACCAGGCCAGTAAAAGGGGCAGGTGGCTATTTGGGACTCTGCTATTAATTGAAGTTTTATGGTAATTCAAACTGAGCATGTCAAGTTAGCCCACATACTGCATTATCCTTACTTTGATCATTTTGGAGTAGCAACATTCATAGCTCGCGTATGGGTTTCAATTCTTGTTTAAAAACACACGCATATTAGCAAGGACAAGAAACCAAACAAACAAAGGAAGCAGATAATACCCTTCCAAAAGTGTCTCCCTGTAGCACTTAATGCAATTTACTATTCTACTCTACTCTGGACATGTGGTACCAACACACCAGAGACAAATTACACATTTCAATCACTAATCACAAACTCCACCTACCAATGCACAGCTTTCCTTCATACCTTACCAAGTCCACCTGCTAAGGCCCTGAGAAGAGAGAAAAAGGTGGACAAATTGCACTACTCCAAGTTACCAAAAACACAACAAAGGCCAAAAGAAACAGATCCATCCGACGAGCCCCCATTTGTCACATGACATGACATGACAAGCCATAAAGTAACATGATTCGCCTGTGGTTTCACTCTGATGGCCTGTGTTTTAAGTTAAAGTAAGAAAGATGTTTTGTTGATATACAACCTATGGTTGTACGTGATCGTTTTTCAGATTAGAGGTTGATGTCTAGTAAAGTGGAGGTGAAAGTCCGCTCTTGCAGGAAACTCCACCCTTTAGAGATATAAACAAGGTCTTCCTGATGTCAGATGTGTTGATCTCGCGCACATATATAGTATATAAGAAGAGGGTCAAGAGTTTTCATTTTTTAAATCTATATTATTTGAGTTTATAATATTCATTAATGCATTTTAAAACTTGTTTTTTGAGATAACATATTTTATATGTATCCCCTGATGATGAATTGTTTTGATCAGCAAAGAAGGCACAATTAGCTAATGTGACATCAACAGTTAAAAGACAAGCACCTTCATTTATAGGACTATAGGAGCAGGGGAAGCCTTTCTCTCCTTTTGAAGACAGAAAGCGATGAGGAAAATAGAATGAGGGATGACATGAATTCATTGAATTCTGCATTTGGAGTGATGCATTTGAAACAGATTATTTTTATTTCTGCATGCATTTAAGGTTATGTAAGAGAAGGGATGTTCATTTATTTTGTTTATTATTTATTTTGCAAAGTGTGGCCTACTATATTCGGCCTTTATGCGTTGGAAGTTAATGAAATGTTTATGAGAATACTGGTGCGATGACTATATTTGCACCGTTCACTCTAGGCCAAGTTTTTTCTCGCTTCTCTTACATGTATCTCCTGATCCTACCTCATCTCATCAATCCTATCATATGAGTTCCTGGCTCTCTACTGCACCTTGTCCCATTCATACATTTGCCTTTTCGCTCATTTTCTTTGGTGATTGTTTTGCATGCTCGACAACCACCCCAGCTTCACCTTCCTGCAGAGTGCTCTGCCAGGATCTGCTGCAGCCTTGGACCATGTGAACTATAGAGTTTCAGGGTGTGTCAAAATATTTTCCCATGTCGTTCTAGACTGCTCTACTTGAATTCGTATTGGTGCAAAACCAAGAGTGAGATAACTGGTGGATAGGAGAAAGACAGTGAGTCTGTGTCCTCTCACATTGTAAATGTTGAACAGTCCTCGGTGAGGCAGGGGTGTCTTCTGCTGCAGCCTCAGGTCTCCGCTGATGAACAGCTTAGCTCCGGGGACAGAAGAAGAGTGCTGCACATAGGCCAGGCTCTGCATCACTACTGTGGACATCCGCTGGAAAAACACAAAGAAATGCACACAGGAAAGGATGTGTGGCTCATTCAGTGTAATAGCAACAGTATCAGTTGACTATATTCTAAAGCCATCTAACCAAACTGACTGATAATATGACCATACACATGCGGTAATTATTCTTGTAGCAGGTAGACTGAAAGAGATAATGGTACTTGCTCCAGGGGCAAAACAGCACACTATACTTATGAATATGTGATATTGTGCCACGAGGTCTTGCGAGATTAAAACAATATTTCTATTAGGGGAAAACCTGTCTGGCGAGATTCACACAATGGACACTTTTCACACACTGTCACATCAATTTTCTCACACACTGAAAAACAAATGAGTAACTGATAACGTCAACTCGCTTTGCAAGTCATCTTCACCCAGCTGAAGTGACACCCGCATACACCGAGATAAGGGACCCAGAGTTTTTCTATATATACGTAAAAACCTGAGCGCAAACTTGTTCTGTTTGGGACTGTGAGCTGCACTTTATTGGAGGCGTTTAAGTTAATATTTGTGTGGATTTGTGGTGAGATTGCGGCCTGATCACATGTGTTTCATAGAGCTGACCCCAAATAGTCGAAGATTCGATGCTGCGATGGGCGGAGCCTGATTCGACTGTCAATGTCACAGTCGAAGCTTCACAGCAAAACAAGGATCATGCCATATTAGCGATATGGGGCTGCTCAACGTTTTAGAACTACCAGTTTCCTCCCAATACGTTAATATACAGCCTATTACAATATACATTTCAAAGTTTAATGCTGTAAATAAACATGTAAAAGGAAAAAACTTTCACTAAATGTTTTTAAAGTGGTAGAATAAATCCAACCCTGGGTCGTCAGTGCGCATGTGTAGGCGTAGCGTTTATACAGTCTATGGTGTAGCCTAGCGGCAGAAGAAGAACCCTTGCTGAAGAGACCGAGCCCCAGCTTCACTGGTGTTGTGCCAGTGTGGAGTTGTCCGCACCTCGCGGGACTTTCAGATAATCTATCACCATCGAAGAATCACAAAAAGAATATAATATCGTTTCTTGAAATAGACACGCTAGGAACAGCATGGCATGCAAGCAAAACTCTGCACAAGACCGGTGAATGACAAGCGAGAGAGAGAAAGAGAAAGGGCCTTCAAAAAGCCTCAGTTTAGCTGGAAATTTACAGTTTAAGTTGAATGAATAGCAATCACCATGCACAAAAATTCACATGATTCGACTATAGGCAGGACTTGACAATTCTGAGTCGACTATGTAAATCCTTAGTAGGGACAGCCCTAGTTTTCAGTTAATTTAGCTTTCCACCTCCTTGTCTCATCCAGTAAAGTCCCAAATGGGGTTCTGTGTCTGTCATATGGTCTGAAGGGCCTATTACCATATCAGCAGAGCAATAATGTAATGCACAGCAGAGTATAGGGTTGGCTGACTTCAAAAGAATTATGAATTCTGCTTAAATGATGACATTAGTCTCATAATATTAAGAATTATTTCTGGACAGGTCAGAGAACACAGATGTGTAAGAGAGATTATGAATGTGCAGAAAGTTTTGTACATGAGCAGAAAACCTGCTGAAACAGAGGAGCACCTGAATTTTGTATTTCCCTCTACATAAATAAAAACATTTCCACCATAAATTGATAGAGAAAAGGCAGATATTGGTGCAAAAAAAAATCACCAGAACGCAGGAAATTAAGTGTTTCAAATTTCTCAAAATTTTCATAATTTTCATAACTTAGTATTGAACTTTAAAAAAAAAAGTGTTAAAATCTCGTCTGGTCTCACTCCAGTAAAATATATGAGGATAATACAGGTGCTGGGCATATAATTAGAATATCATCAAAAAGTTGATTTATTTCAGTAATTCCATTCAAAAAGAGAAACTTGTATAATGTATACATTCATTCCACACAGACTGATATATTTCAAGTGTTCATTCCTTTTAATTTTGATGATTCTAACTGACAACTAATGAAAATCCCAAAATCAGTATCTCAGAAAATTAGAATATTGTGAAAAGGTTCAATATTGAAGACACCTGGTGCCACACTCTAATCAGCTAATTAACTCAAAACACCTGCAAAGGCCTTTAAATGGTCTCTCAGTCTAGTTCTGTAGGCTACACAATCATGGGGAAGACTGCTGACTTGACAGCTGTCCAAAAGACGACCATTGACACCTTGCACAAGGAGGGCAAGACACAAAAAGTCATTGCTAAAGAGGCTGGCTGTTCACAGAGCTCTGTGTCCAAGCACATTAATAGAGAGGCGAAGGGAAGGAAAAGATGTACAAGCAGTAGGGATAACCGCACCCACTTCATGCTTCCTGCTGCTGACCAACTTTATGGAGATGCAGATTTCATTTTCCAACAGGACTTGGCACCTGCACACAGTGCCAAAGCTACCAGTACCTGGTTTAAGGACCATGGTATCCCTGTTCTTAATTGGCTAGCAAACTCGTCTGACCTTAACCCTATAGAAAATCTATGGGGTATTGTGAAGAGGAAGATGCGATACGCCAGACCCAACAATGCAGAAGAGCTGAAGGCCACTATCAGAGCAACCTGGGCTCTCATAACACCTGAGCAGTGCCACAGACTGATGGACTCCCTGCCACGCCGCATTGCTGCAGTAATTCAGGCAAAAGGAGCCCCAACTAAGTATTGAGTGTTGTACATGCTCATACTTTTCATGTTCACACTTTTCAGTTGGCCAACATTTCTAAAAATCATTTTTTGTATTGGTCTTAAGTAATATTCTAATTTTCAGAGATCCTGAATTTGGGATTTTCATTAGTTGTCAGTTTTAATCATCGCAATTAAATTAAATAAACATTTGAAATATAAGTCTGTGTGTAATGAATGAATATAATATCCACGTTTCACTTTTTGAATGGAATTACTGAAATAAATCAACTTTTTGATGATATTCTAATTATATGACCAGCACCTGTACATATTAGTCCCTGAACTTCAGTACAAGTTGTGTGTGAAAATACTTGAATGTGAATTGTAATACAACATTTGAACTAACATGGAAAAATGGTATGGTATAAATGTGGTTTCTCAAAATATTACTGCTTTATTTTCCACACAGATATGAGGGATATATTTTGAATGTGCAGAATGTTTTGAGGATGAGGAGAAAATTTGCTGAAACAAAGAACCTATTAAATTCCAAGAGTTTATAAATGAATTAAAATGAATTAATTTCTCACTGACATGAAAAGGTACCACATGCTCATTTAAAGAGGTACACCAAACAAAGACACAATAGAGGAGGGAAAAAACTAAATCATGCCTGCATGTAGGGCTGAATGATTTGGGGAAAAAATCTAATCGCGATTTTTCTGCTAGATATTGTGATTACGATTTGATTTGCAATTTTTTGTATTGAAGTTTTGCTAAAGTTCAATATTCACTGCCAGTCCATTTTTGATGGAAGTCATGTCAAGCAGCACCGAGCAGATGAACCAGGCAAGAAGTCAGACACAGAACAGCACAGAGAATCCAGTCGATTTCCAAAATAAAACACCTTTTGCAGACTCCAAGTTGTACATCAACAGTAAACACAGTTAACAGACTAAAGAAAGAAACTATTTATTTATTTAAAATCAAGGACACTGAACAAATAAGCAAAATCTGAGCAAGTCAGCAAAATCAGACAGGCAAAATGCTCTTATTCTGAAATGCTCCATGTGGATCTGTAAGGTTAGCCTGCAGAGAGCAGACCTGTTATCCGTAGTTGAAGCAAACAAAATGACAAACTAACAACACGCTAACAACGTGTAGGCTGAACGCTCCGCTGCTGAAGCACTTCAGTGTGAGTTGACGCCGGACAAAACCGCGGAACAGGAGGCGCATGGAGCGTGAGACTGGCGACCAGGTCTGTCGCACAAGGATGACAACGGAATAAATATGTAACTGCGTGACTGTATAATTAACCCACATTTTAATCGCCGTCTTCACGATAAGCTAATCGCGTTCTTTTCAAATTTCAATTTCGATTTGAAAACAATTAATCGTTCAGCCCTACCTGCATGTGTGCTGACTCAGCAGGGATGATATTGAGAAAAGATGATCTACAAGAGAAACAGATCTGAAAGCAAAACAGAATACCCGAGAGCCTTTTTGTCTTATTTTGCATTATATGTTTTATCTTTTGAATTGTCACCTCTAACATGAATTTTGTGTTTTCCTTTGTATAATATAGACATTTCCACCATAAATTGATGCATAAAAGGCAGAAATTGGTGCAGAATATTTCACCAGAATGCAGTTATTAAGTGTTAAATGCTCAGAATTTTATGGGGGCCCCCACTTAATGTGTCCCCACCAATGTTGAAAAAACCTACGCTCTTGCATTTCAACAACACAATTACATGGGGGATGATTCCCAGACACCTGGTTAGGTTTGGTCTCCCGATTTAGGTTATGGTGTTTGGAGGTTGGAGGAAGTATGCTGATTAACCACAATATTCATCAGTGACCGTGATTATTGACTTGGCTTTTCATCTATACGTGCTTTAAAATTGTGAGTTTGGCAGCTGAACTTTTAAAACTAAATTCCTGAGGATTGAAGAGTGATGTCTGGCCTACTCATAAATACACCAACCTCAGCAATACCGAATCTCATTCCAAACTGTATTGAAAAGTTGGCAGCTCTAATGTAGTAATGATCAGATCCAACACACAGTGACTTAAATCACTGACTGTAATTTTTCAGGTAATTACTCAGGAAAAGTACTACCATCTTACTAGTGGCATAGATCTATGAAGCATCTGTATGTCATGTATATACTGTGAGTGTGCACAGACTAGGTTAGGTACTGCAGTGGCATACATACAAAGAGCTGGTAGCTGAAGGTGAGCAGCAGTTGGACACTGTACACCTGTTCCTCAGGTTTTAGAGGTAGCTGCAGTTGAAAATTCAGAAGATCCAACTTCCCGTCCTGGTTCTGGTCTTCTTCTCTCACCTGTAGAGTGTATTCACCCACAGCCATTGCATTTTTTGACATCGTTAAAACATCTAATGTGATTATGAATTAAATGCAGGCAAACCCACAGAGGCCCCCACAAGCCACAGGGGACAATGGTATACATTTGAGGGAACTGTGGTAAATCTCTTACAGAAACAGCAGGGATCCGGAGGTTGGCCCCAAGCATGTTGTTAAGATGGGGAAAGGTGCTCCAGGCCACATAGTCTCCCTGAGTACTGGTTGCTGCCACCAGCAGAGTCTGGTACTGGAACCTCACAACCGGTTGTTCCTCATAAGTGCTTCTTTTGATCCAGAAACCTAAATGTGAAAATAGAAAACATGGCTTTAAACATCGAGCATGCATTTCTACTTGTTTAACAAAAGCGTTGAAATATCGGTGTATTTAAAACTCAACATTTAGCAATCACGACAGAAGCAGTGACCATAATAGTTGAGCGTTTGACATCACAGCTGTGTACCTTGGCTCCTGTAAGCAACCAGCAGAGGTGGGATGTAGGTGAGGCAGAGAACAACAACCAGAAACAGAGTGGCTTTTGTGCAAACACTCGTTTTGTACCGAATCAAAGCCGGATGAGAATACACTTCATAGAAAGCCATAGGTAACGCAATAAATAGTGTTCGTAACCGCCAGTGTTGTGTATCAAGTCAGCCGGCTAGCCTGTTAATGCTCAAGCTAACATAACGTTAGCTGCTAACTGAGTGGATAAGCCCGGAGGACTAACGCGAGTGAAACTATCACAGACAACAAACACAGCTATTAACCGTCGTTAAGTAATATCCATCCAACAGCCTTCGAAATGCAGTCGTCTTTCAAGGCGCATTAATAAGCTATTTACGTTAGCACCCTAGCTTATGTAGAACCACGCACCGCGCCATGTTTTAGCTTAGCTTAGCGTCTCACGGTTACCATGGCTGCCAGTAGTAGCAATCATGCTGCATTCAAGCAATGTTGGTCCAGTCGTGGGTGGGAACAATGTGAACCGTAAATTAGCTACTTTTGCGGCGTATTTGGATTCCTCAACAAGTGAATCCAGACCCAATCGAACTGTGTTAGTCCTTAATAAGCTGAATTGATTGTATGACTGTAAATATATGATTTTATTTATATGTAATTAACAGCAATGATGGCTTTGCAGCCATTTTGCTTTGTTAACACTATGTGGAAGCAGTGGCGCACAAACATCTGGGGCCCCTACATATGCACCCTCAGCAGTCCCCCACCCCCTTTAATATTACCATTGTCACACCTATACAAATATATAATTACTATGCAGCATTTCATCCAAACAAATAAGACATTCCTTGAATCACACTTTATTTGCAGAATTACAATTTACAATTGATTTCCAACAAGTGTGCCCAATATGTTGAAACAACTAGCATTATAAAAATATATATAAACCTAAAGGCACAATCTATATACAACAATGGTAGCCCATCCATCCATCCATCCATCGTCAACTGTTTATCCTGTGTACAGGGTCGCAGGGAACAATGGTAGCCCCAATAATAAAACTGAAATCACAAGATTAGAACCTGCTATCACTCTCAAACTGATGACTGGTCTCAATACAGAGAGTAATGTTGCATGAGAATGTTGATTTACAGGAGAAAACATATATAAAAGCAATACAGAATGCCCAAAAGCCTTAGTGTATTATATTAGATTATTATATTGAATTGTCAGCTGGCACCTGAATTTTTGTCTAAAATATAACAAAAAATATTCTTCTACTTCCTTTTAATTGGCTGATGTACTACTCACTGTGAAACTTTGACTGGGAAAATGGAAATATAGAAATATATATAAAATATATATATTATTATATATATATAAGTATATTCTGTTCTGCTTGTCTGATTTTAGCAGGAAATCAAACCTGGTGACAGGCATTTAGAATAATTATATAGAAACAATTTTCTCGTTGACCATTTGCTTATGTAGGTCATATGGAGGCATCAGTATTAAATTGAGACAGTTTTCTAACAAGTTAAAAGCTTCTCTTTAACTTTAACTGACTAGTATTTCTGGTGCTGACTAAGAATGTGTAGCAACGTTTAATCGACTGGTCGACTAATCCCACACATCCTTTGTATAGATGTTAAAACGAGACTGTAATTGCAGTTCTATGAATTCTGGATGACAGTCAGGTATTATAACTAGACATTAAACTATCTGAAACGGCTGAAATGCATCTGTAAGCCATCAGGAGAGGTAGAGGAACATTGGAGAAATGATCAATTCAATTCAGTTTTATTTATATAGCGCCAAATCACAACAACAGTTATCTCAGAGCGCTTTTCATAAAAGAGCAGGTCTAGACCGTACTCTGTTATGATATTTACAGAAACCCAACAGTTCCCACCAAGAGCAGCACTAGGCGACAGAGGCAAGGAAAAACTTCCTTTTAAGAGGCAGAAACCTCGAGCAGAACCATGGCTCAGGGTGGGCGGCCATCTGCCTCGACCAGTTGGGGGTGAGAGAGAGAGAGTGCAAGAGAGGAACAGAGAGAGAGAGAGAGAGGGATGGAAGGAGAGAGAGAGGGGAGGGAGGCAGCCTACACAATACACACACAGAGGTACAGACAGTGAAGGTGATGTTGCTATAGACTAAATGAAAAATGGCACAGATATGTATAGTAGTGTTAATGATAATAATCGTAATGTTAATGATTTTAATTACAATAATAGCAATAGGACTAGTAACAATAATTGTAGCAGAGGGTGTTGAGCAGGAACCTGGCGACCAGGTCTGTCGCACAAGGATGACAACAGAATGAATATGTAACTGCGTGACTGTATAATTAACCCACATTTTAATCGCCGTCTTCACGATGGGCTAATCGCGTTCTTTTCAAATTTCAATTTCGATTTGAAAACAATTAATCGTTCAGCCCTACCTGCATGTGTGCTGACTCAGCAGGGATGATATTGAGAAAAGATGATCTACAGGAGAAACAGATCTGAAAGCAACACAGAATACCCGAGAGCCTTTTTGTCTTATTTTCCATTATATGTTTTATCTATAATGGGAACGCAGGAACACGGGGGCAGCAGGTTACTCGCAACCACAGATCCAGACTCCACAGCTCCAGAGCCAGAAACACCTGCAGGAAGTGATGGGAAGAGAGAGGAGAGGGATGAGAAAGCACAAAACTACCGGAAAGGGGAGAAGTCGAGTTAGTAACATGCATTAATGAGGTTGCATACAAAGGGAGAGAAAGAAGAGGAGAGAGGAGCTCAGTGCATCATGGGAAATCCCCAGGCAGTCTAGGCCTATAGCAGCATAACTAAGGGATGGTTCAGGACTCACCTGAGCCAGCCCTAACTATAAGCTTAATCAAAGAGGAAAGTCTTAAGCCTACTCTTAAATGTGGAGATGGTGTCTGCCTCCTGAACCCAAACTGGAACCTGGTTCCACAGGAGAGGAGCTTGATAGCTGAAAGCTCTGGCTCCTAGTCTACAATCAGACAGCAGTGATTTGCGGGACGGACAGGTGATTCACCCAACCCTCACCACACTTTATATAAACAAGATTAATGAGCAATATTTATAACAATAACTTTAGTAAAATAGCCAGAGTCAGGATGCCATGTGCCATTGTGCCACTATGTGCCCCTTCCAGCCGAACTCCTCCTAAGAGCAACTTGTTCCCTTGTTCTGTTTTATATCTAAATCTGCATTTTTCCACTGCAGAGGCACTATCCACAGCATTGAGGAGTAAATATTAGTATAATATTATTTAATTTAAATATAACATTAAATAAAAAGTATAATGTTAATTTAATAGTATACTGTTGTGTATGTGATGTGAACAAAGTTTGTCCACTTCAAATATCTTCCTATTGGAACTAGTGTATGACAAGTGGACAGGGGTCATATCCCCCTGTTGCTAATGATTTGGGAGCTGAAAGAGTAATATGTTGGTCTCTGGGGCTGTGTGTCACTCTTGCCAAATATCAGAATAGCAGGAAATCTGCCATGTGGAATACCTTTCAAATAGTGTAGTAACGCTTCCCAAATGTCAGAATGACACGTACCAGGCCTGGTTCCTGGAGGAAAACGCAGAGTACCACAAACACCCATTCCAAGTGACTCAGGGGGGCCTGAAACACACTCCCACAGAATGTGCTGTTACACATGGCCTGGGTTCAGCCAAAATAACAGGCTGTGACATGGGTCTACAATAGCAGTACCTTTGCACTTTGCGCTCTCTTGTCCAATGGAAATACCTTACAAAGTGTGTAAGTGACAACACAACCTCTTTGTGTCTACCCATGTGATTTGTTACAAGCACATTTGTCTACTTTGTTTCTCATTTGCCTGTCTGTGTTTGATACCAGAGCTAATCAGTCCCTCCAGGCAGCTGAGACAGAGAGAGAGAGCATTTCTGATATTTCCTCTTTTCAGCAATGAAAAAACCCATTACCAATTCATTTTAAAAAACACATTATTTTTGACTGAAAAAAGGGATGATTAAATGTAGATATCAGTATTTCAGTATTCATATTTTATTAACTAACTGTATGTTTTGTATATGTAGTGTTAATTTGCAACGACACTGGTAAAGAAATTCAGCATCCTTAGAAACTGGCGAAAAACCTAGTGTATGACTTCCTATGTTTACTGTTGTTATTGTGGCAGAAGACGTCCTTTTCCAGGGCCTTTTCTGATTCAGTATTGTAAATTTTAAGAGTTAGGAAATAACTGACGCAAATGTTTCAACCGCAACATTTACATTTACATGTTCCCAGGGCCGCCCACAAGGGGGGGAAAAGGGGAAAGCATTCTGGGGCCCAGCTGCTAGGGGGCCCATGTAGTCCAGCACTAGTGATGTTCATTGTAAATATGAGCAAAGATAACCAAATTTTATTTTGAACCAAAAAACTCACCATTACTTATTAAAATAAATGTAATGTTGTTTTAGTAAAATATAGCCTGTTTCATAATGAAAACATGTTGTTGCATGCAAGTCAGAACATCAGAAGTACACCACATGCGCAGGCCATCTATGTGTTTATGTAGAAGAGAGAGAGAGAGAGAGCACAGCATGCATTGACATGAGTAAAGCAGATTTGCAGAGGGCCCATTTGCTGGACCTTTTCAGGGGCCCAGTCATTTCTGTGGGCAGGCCTGCATGTTCCCTTCAGACACTCCTTTCAGTTCCTACATGTGGTACAATCTTTGCTTTTGCCTGGAATTGTTGTTAAATGCACATTGCAATGAAATAACTTTTAATGTGCGCAGTAAAATTGATTATATAATATTACTAAAACAGTTTTGCTATATAATTCTATAAATGATTTCATTCTGTATCCAAAATAAATGCCTTAGCAATCCCCTGCATGTACTAGTCTGCATTGTTTTTTAAAGGACTGAATTCGTGGACGGACTGATTCTGTCCGACAGCACCTGAAGGTAGCATCACCACCACCACCTTTCTGTCAGACAGTGACGTCACCTCACATCCAGAAGGACAGTTGGGAGCTTCGGGCAGAGAGACATTGTTGACGTTTTGTTTTGATCGCTTTTGCCTGGACTTTTGGACAGTACGCTGACATTATCCGCTGATTTCGAAGCCCACCTTTCAGCGCTACCATCACGCCACAGAGCGGGGATCCAGCAAAGATGAAATGGATGTTTAAAGAGGACCATTCCCTCGGTAAAGGGATTTGGATTGTTATGAAACCAGAGATGTTAATAGTGTCATGCACCCTCCTTTCTGTTTAGCTGTCTCCGCGTCGATTTTGCCATATCATCCCACACAGGTGCATGCTTGCTTGCCACGGCGCCCTGTAAATTACAATTACATCAATCCATCATGGCTAACCTTGCAGGACTAGCAACAAATGCTAACGTGTTCTTCCTACATGTCAAATGGCCAAAACCGGGTTCATCTTCTACATTGCTGATCCATCAAATTAGTCAGCTGGTTTCTCCCTGGCACGTGTCTGTTTTGCATGGAGACATTTCATCGCCAAATTCCATTTAAGTATCTGACAATTTAATGTTGCCTTGCTTATATTAAATTCTTGGTAGAAAACCATTGGTAGAAAATGCCTTCAGACGTGTCAGAAATTCGTTAAGCGTGGTAGTTAATTCTGCACAAAAACACCACCAAGAAGCACTTTCTGTCAGTAGGAGGCCTACCTAAACTTTTTGTATTGCTTCACAGTGCTTGGTAGGCTACTGCCTTCCAGGGTTTATTTTGCTGGCAAAGGGAAGTGATAATTTCATGCAAAACAATAAAAACAGCAGCAGGAAATTTGATTTGAAAAACTAATCAGTGTGTTTTGCATAGATGCCGAGTGTTTCATTAGTATTTGTTCTTGAACTTGTATCTTGTTCCTCTAATGTGAACATTTTAAGCTCTCTGGAGGAGTATTTATTTAAAAGATGGTGTAAAGTTGTTTCCATGCCCAGATAGCTGGGGCAGGTTGTTTTGCAGCTCTATGAGTGCAATTTCAGCCACTCAGCTCCTCTCAGCTTCTGTGTTCATATTCTCTTCAGATAATCTCAAGTGTTCTTTTTAAAGAAAGGCTGCTGCGGGATTATTAGAGATGTTTCCAAAAGTAGGCCTCTTATCTGGGCTAATGAATGCATGCGACATGTTGAACTTAAATGGATCCGCAACATCATTATCACCCATCACCTTCCCCTCCCCCCTCTGGCTTCTGTTCAGTGTCTGCCTGCCGCATCTGGTCCTGCCCACAAAGCATACTGGAAATAGACCCATTATGACTTGGTCTGTGATAATGATAAGTACTTAAATGTTTAGTATCACTTAATAAAGACAATTGATGTGATTCATTACTTAAACTTAACAGTAATGACTATTCGTTGAGGACAAAAATTGAACTAAAATCCTCGCACTTTGACTTGTCCACTGCCAGCTTTGATGCTGAACACTATATCGGACAAGGTTGGCTGTATTTGGCAGTGAGGCATGAGAGGAGGTTCCCAAGAGGCTTCACTTATCCCTTTAATCTCTGACTTCCTGTTTGTTTCCTGTCTCTCCCCCAGAGCACCGATGTGTGGAGTCAGCCAAAATACGCAACAAATACCCTGACAGAGTACCGGTGAGTGAGGGGGAGGTGGTGTTTCTTTGCAGTGGAATGGGCATTAAAGGTACAGATAAAGTGAGGGACTGAAAGTCAAGAGATAAGCAGTGAGTGCGAAAGAAAGAAGAGAATGAGTGACGTAGAAGTGATTTGGATGCAGCTCCGAGAACCAGAGTTCCAGCTGTGACCCCAATGAAAAATCCCACTTTTCCATAACTTTCCTTAACTGAGTCTGAGTCCCTCCATGGCTTACAGAGTTTCTCCTGTCTGCTTTGGTAATCTCTTGAAAACCATCTATGAAGATACCTCAATGTATACCACAAAGTGACCTATTAGTACAGTTCCCTGATGTTCACTGACTATATGTTAACAAAGCTATACAGGATGTGACCCACACCCCCAGTGCCACTGCTACTAGTAATTACAGTGGTGTGGGTTATTGGCCCTCAGGTTTGATTCAGCAGGTAGTGGCCAGTCTATCCTTGCTCTCCTCCGCTGATACACGCTGTATGGGGTACACCCACATATTTTCAATGTTCTTTTTGCAATAGAACATTGAAAATATTTTGGATAAAACAAAGGTTTTCTACTTTGTGACAATGCTTCTAAACATGGGTTTGAACAAGGCATATCCACGTCAAGTTTTTTTAAGATAAGTAACTTAAATGTATTCTTTATAAATTGAGTATTTACTATCTATATTTTGTTTGGTGTATGTTTATCACTAAATAATGCACTAGTCTACATACTGTATTCATACCATACTGCCTTAGTCATAGCCCGTACATAGACTGTACATACCTGTAGCAATAGACATTCATGAAGACACATATTTATATTATATATCATTCATAGGGCTGGGTGATAAAACGATAATTCACTTTACTAGAGAAAGAGATTTACTAATCATATTTTTAGAAAAAAGTTTATCATAATAGTTTTGAATGTTCTACCTCAGATCAGTGATCCACAGTTTGGTATTAAGTGTTTGTCATGTTGAGACCATAAAGTATAGTTTAACCACACAATTAACCATCTGGCCCTTCAATTTTCATTCAGGGGCAAAAATCGCCACCTTTAAACTTGAAAGAAATAACGATTTGACATTTATCATGATAATTATCGATATTGAATGATATGAAATGTTTTTATCTTGATAACATTTTGGCCATATTGCCCATCCCAATCATTCATACCTTACACTTTTTATAATAATGTATGATATTTTATTTAATTACCACTTAAGCACTTCTGGCTAGATGCTAACAGCATTTTGTTGCTTTGTACCTAGTGACATGCGCAATGACAACAAAGTTGAATCCAAATGTAATCTAATATTCCACTGTAATAGGACACAGACACAATAATAAGAGCTTGTTAGCTAGAGTTAGCTTGCAAGCTAGCACTTTTGTTTTCCATCAACAACTTTAATGAGCTTGTGATAAGGATACTTTTGGCCATGTTCAAACCAAATATGTGCTCATTTCATCTAATCATTTATTTATATGAAAATATTTTCCTGAATTGTGGCTCTAAACTTGGTCCAAATGTTGTTACGTAGCTTTTGTCATGCTGTCAAACATACTGTATACAAGAGAAACATCAAACTATTTTTATTTTGGAAAATAAAAATAACACAGTGTAATACAAATATCAGAACTAATGTATCAAGTATAAGCAAAAAACTCACAGTTGCTTGCAACTGTTGATATGTGATGACACATCTCACACTGGCTATCAAAGCACACCCCGCTGTAAACATGTCTGAAAAACCTGTGAATTAACCTTTGCTAGTGCTGTCAGGAAGGGAATATAACAGCGCTGAAAACTGACACCTCAGGTCAGAGCGCATACAGGGGGACATTGTGGAAAACCTGCCTGGCCCTATATGCATACCAAGAGCCTTTTGTGTGGATGATAATCCCTGTTAAACTCAATCTTTTAATTAGCTCTTTCATTCTTCACCTGCTTAATGGGAGGACTGCTGGGAGAACAGGACACACAGTCAGTGAACACAAAAACTTTCTCCCATTGTTTGGGCTCATTCCATTGTTAGATTTTATATAACACAATGGGTTCAACACTGGACAGGATTGTAAACACGAGCATGGTAGAACTGCGCAACGGATAAAGTAACTGAAATGCAAAAGTAATGCGCATAGTGACAAACCCACAGACAATTATCACCCAAGTGTGCCGTTTCCCTCACTATGCAAAGGTTTTAGTGTCTTTCAGCTCATTGATTTGGTTTTACGACTAGCAACTGTCCTGTTTTGATTCAGTCATTGCACTGTATTTTTCTGTCACAGCAAGCAGCTGTTTTCAGTAAAAATGCTCTTGCACATACCCACTGCCCAGCACCAAATGCCTGATAGACACAGACAAAGGAACCAACTAGCTGGTAAAACTTAGTGGAGCATTTAGCAGCTGATATTTCCCTCAGGGCTTGTCGGAAACCAAACCAGACCTAAAATGAGAGGGAAAGTGCTTACATTTGTCAGGTGGCAGAAACACGACAAATAAATAATAATGTTTGGGAAATCCTCAAATGGTAATGCTAATAATTGAGCTTTAAGCATTCCTGACATTTCATGACAACTGCACATAAACAAGGTCCCTGCAGTGGCCATTATAGGACATGTAGGCTTGTCAGGCTCAGTGCATACACTTACTGTGTATGCTACCGCAATTTTATCAGCTAGAGCAACCATTAGACACATGTCATAAGAACAGGACTCACTCCGGACACAGTTGTAAGCCTGACATGGTTTACTTCATTGCGTTCAGCTGAGTCTGACAAACTGATATCACATCCTATAATAGCAGTAAAGTTTCTGTTACAGCAGTGAACTCACATTCACATTTTTTCTGTTAAATTTTGTGCTCCAGGTGATAGTGGAGAAGGTTTCTGGCTCTCAGATAGTGGACATTGATAAGAGGAAGTACCTGGTGCCCTCTGACATCACAGTGGCCCAGTTCATGTGGATTATCAGGAAACGTATCCAGCTGCCTTCAGAGAAAGCCATCTTCCTCTTTGTCGACAAAACAGTCCCCCAATCCAGGTGAGAGCAACACTACATTCTGCAGTTGTAATAATGGAAGGAAGTTGCAGTAAGACATTGAAATCTTAGCTAAATGAAAGACAGAATTGTTTACTGTTATATATCATGTATCTATGTCATTGGTGGTGTGAAGCACTGAAGCAGATTTCTCCCCCAAAAGGTGACCAGGTGGCACACAATGGTATTATGGTGGTATTGTGCTTCTTGGCTTTTTCCCATTTTCCTTTTTTGTGCATGTAATAGGTTTGCAAAGTGAAAAAGCCCAAAGTCCACCCCAAACGGAGTTCCCATCTCCCACGGAAACTCTGCTCTGAACTGCCTAAAAACAGCTCGTTTGTAGTTCAGCCATTTCCCTTTCATCCCTGTGTCGTCACAGGGATGAAAGCTAAATGCGCCTCATATAACGCTCGCCAAGCGGCTAGTCCGATATGCCCTCAAAAACACAGGTGGTTTCTGATTGGCTAGTAGTCCTTAACTAGGAAGTGCGCATGTGCAACACCCAACAAAGATCATGTAGAGGCAAGATGTATCACTCCATAGCTAAAATGAAGCCTTTAACACACTGGGAGAAAAGAGGAGCTGCAGCAATGTGCAGTCTAACAAAAAATATGGTGTTTTTTTGAAAATTAAACCATGTAAACCTGTTCTGGTACAACCCCTAAATAGGATTTTGAACCTGAAAATAAGCATAATACCACCTCTTTAAATCTATTGCAGAGGCCACTAGAAGCTGTGGTCAGTTTTTAGAATCAATATTGAGAGAATTTATTGATGATGAACTGCTATTTGTAGCAGTTTTAAAACTGCAGAAAAAAAGGTTAGCGTAATTCTGTAAAGGGACTTTTTTGCCAAAAATCTTTATGATGAGTACTTCATCCTCAGCACTGCTCTACTGAATTTATTTTATTTCCATTTACCATTTTTAGAATTGATTTTATATTACTGTATATTGTCAGCTATGTAGCAGAAGGGAGGTACAAACTCAAAAAAGAAAGCCTATGACTCAAAGCCACATATATGGATACCTGAATGCTTGGAAATCAACAGGACACTAATAGCCTTCATCAAGAACTCAATGGGGCTGTGGAAAACAAGTCTGGAAGCCAACTCAAAACCAATTGCACAAGTCACCATCAAGTGGGGCATATACCAAGGCGATGCACTATCCCTGCTGCTGTTCTGCGTAGGCCTGAACCCCCTCAGCCAGATCATCACAAAAACTGGCTACGGATACCGGTTCTGAAGTTGAACAACCATCAGTCACCTCCTCTACATGGATGACATCAAGCTGTATACCAGAAATGAGCGAGACATCGACTCACTGATCCACACTACCAGGACCTACAGCAACGACATTGGAATGTCGTTTGGACTGGACGCATGGTATCAAAAAGAGGGAAGATGATCAGAACCAAGGGGATTGAACTACCAGAAGGCCACATTGCAGATGTTCAGGACAGCTACAAAATACCATGGGGTGCCGCAGGCTAACGGAAACCATGAGGAGGCAGCAAGGAAGTCCGCCACAGCCAAATACCTACAGAGAGTAAGGCAGGTCGTGAAAAGTCAGCTGAATGGGGAAGAACAACATCCGAGCCATCAACACATACACGTCAGTCATCAGATACCCCGCTGGTATAATAAACTGGCCAAAGGAGGAAATAGAGGCCACTGACATCAAGACGAGAAAGCTCCTCACAATGCATGGAGGGTTTCGCCCCAAATCCAGCACCCTAAGACTGTACACCAAGCGTAGCGAGGGAGGCCGAGGGCTAGTGAGTGTCAAGACCACTGTCCAGGATGAAACGACAAAGATCCAGCAGTACATCAGGAAGATGGCCCCAAAGATGAAGGGCTTAGTGAATACCTCAGGCAGCAGAAACCCGAAGGTGAGGACAGGAAGACAAGAACCTTCATGGAGAGACAAGCCGCTGCACGGCATGTACCACAGACAAATAGAAGAAGTGGCTGATATCAAGAAATCCTACCAGTGGCTGGAAAAGGCTGGACTGAAGGACAGCACAGAAGCACTAATCATGGCGGCACAAGAACAGGCACTCAGTACAAGATCAATAGAGGCTGGGGTCTACCACACCAGGCAGGACCCCAGGTGCAGACTGTGCAAGGATGCCCCTGAGACAGTACAGCACATAACAGCAGGGTGTAAGATGCAGGCAGAAAGTGCGTACATGGAACGCCATAACCAGGTAGCTGGCATAGTGTACAGGAACATCTGCAATGATTATGGGCTGGAAGTCCCAAGGTCAAAATGGAAGACACCTCCTAAGGTAGTTGAGAATGACCGAGCTAAGATCCTGTGGGACTTCAAGATCCAGATTGACAAACTGGTGATGGCTAACCAACCATACATCGTGTTGATCGACCAACAGCAGAAGAAGGCTGCAGTGATGGATGTGGCAATCCCAGGCGACAGCAACATCAAGAAGAAGGAACACGAGAAGCTTGAGAAATACCAAGTGCTGAAAGAGGAGCTAGAAAAGATGTGGAAAATAGGAGCAACAGTGACCTGAGCTTGAGGATGACACATACCACCCCTCAAGGGGTAAGAGGGGGATTTTCAAACAAACGGACAAACAGCGCTGTTTGTCCGTTTTCAGCTACTGTATAAACATGACGATGCAACGTGGCGACGTCCATAGAAGGGGGTGCCCGCGGTTATGTAGATAAAATGGGTCATTCTAAGGTAATAAAAACAATTGCTTATTGCGTAAGGTCTTTACACACCACTGATAACATGGTTATATTGCATTTCTATCAATAGATCCTCAGAAAAATTACGCACTGAACCTTTAAGGATAGAAAAACTATATATACAATAGTAAATATGAAGAATATGCATTAAAGATTAGATGTGGGGAGAAACAATTTTCTATATTCGGGATTCGTTGATTCGTGGCGAGTCAAGAAAGTGTGTGAAAAATATCAATTGTATGACTCATGTTCAATGCTGCTGCTCTCCCAGGCTCTGTTCTGGGAGAGAAAAAAACTGAGCAGGCTTCAATCAGACAACAGAAATGTCACTGATTAAGTCAGGGCATATCTCTCCTATCTTAACCTTATCTGTATGCAGCTTTTCAAGCCTCTGACTTCCTCTTAACCTCTTTCAGAATGCCACCCTTCTCCTTACTAAAGAATGCCATGGCGAACTTACACAGATCTTTTAAAAAAGAGCTGTCGGCATTTCTGTATTGCAATTTATCATATATGTTCTCAGACAGACATATAAACTGATACCGATATATATCTGCAATAAGCTAAAATTGGCCTGGCTGATTTAACTTGCCTAGCTCTACTTGACAGCGCTCTCTGGGGGCAACCTATGTAATGGTAACACTGTTTCTAAATATTTCAAACATACAGTATATTTAGCATTTCATTTACACTGCTGTTACCAGCTGTATACAGTATATGAGATCAGCTAAAATCATGTAATAATATCTGCCTGGCTGATTTATTGGTCGGGCTGAATGGATGATGCCTAGAGAAACGTGGGAATTGGAAATAACATGAATAATGAATTCTTTATTGTATGTTCAATAACGAGGACAATACAACCCTTTTTATAACGTCTTTCAGGTCTACAGGGAAAAGTGTTTGGAAATTCAAAAGAGCCATTCTGGGTGGACGCCGCCTTTTGTACATTTGTTTTCGTATCTGCAGCATTTTTGTAATTGGAATGCATTATTCCTAAATGTTTGTGCTTTTGCTCTTGTATGTGTTTCTGTCCTTTGGGATCACTGTAGGCTTTTGAACTGATTTCAAAATTCTGTCGATCAGCACAAAATAACCACTATTAGAGGCTTTAGTCTGCACAAACCCAAATTACAGATGTAAATATAATTGATTCTAAAGTCTGGTTTCTGCTGTGTTTTGCAGTCTGACTATGGGCCAGCTGTACGACAAGGAGAAGGACGAGGACGGCTTTCTGTACGTGGCCTACAGCGGAGAAAACACCTTTGGTTACAAGGCCTTTTATACAACACGGGGTTAACACTTCACTGAAAACCAGTGTCACACACACACACACACACACACACACACACACACACACACACACACACACACACAGTAGGACCCAACAAATACTGGTGCACATTGGCCTTTACATGTGTTACTCAAGTAATGCATCTACACACTTTGCGCAGTCATTTATGGTCTTTTTGATACAAAAAAATACACATTCATGGTGAAAATTAACTACACCAAAATACTACAATAAACAAACTTGTTGGTCTTTTTGTCATGATTACTGTTTAAGGTCAGTTGTGGAGAGAAATATCTTTACACTGCCGTACGAATAACAATTGCCACACATTACACGCACGTCAGATATCATTAATTTTCCAGGTATCGACATCAGTATTAGATTTAAAAAGAAATAAAAACTCCTTTAGGCTCTGACACACAACACACACACACACACACGTCCATCATCACACATCATTTCTTTCAATCCAGCTTTGTTGTCACAGATATTTGGTTCGGCTGGAGTGAGAAAGACCCAATAATCATGTGACTAGAATCATTAACCACAATATGGATGTTATTTGTATGGCTCATAATATTCTTTATGTAACTTTAACTCCACAGGTACACTCAGCACTATGATAGGCTATGAGAATGACTATAGCATTTGAAAATGGCAGCTCATGCTGTTTGCAATGTGAATGATCCCTGTAAGCTGTTAGGAGGCAGCCAGTGTAAGGTGTGTCCAGCTCTCGGCCTGGGACCACACCAGTCCCTGGGTGTTCCTGAGTGCTTCCTGCCTGGCTATTATGTATTTGCACTTTATGTTGGCTGAATAGTCAAGCTGGATTCCGACTCATGATGCCAACAGCAAGTCATGTAACCTCAGTGAACTGCTAAAGAAATCCAACACTTTACTTGAAGTTTATTGTGTCAAACTGTGATATACAGTATGTTTATGTTGTCATCACAGAGCAACAATCTGAAAATTGCCATCACTTAGCAGAAAACTCACCCTGTTACTCTTCTTATATTATCAGTCTGTGACGCAGTGATGAAGTGTTCACTTAATCTTCTCTCCCTCAGCCTGAGTCATCTTCATCTGCATCAGTTAGTAGTTCCTCCTCCACTCCCCAGAATGCCTTTCATTGTTTTGGTCTTCTGCTCTGCAATCCCAGCTGTTATCAGAAAGGTTCAGATAACCCACTGAACACTACCTGCTCAGAGACACAGAGACTAGAGACCACAGTGCGAGTAACTTATAAGCCATGTTGTGTTTTGTGTAAAAGGCATGCCATAATGATCATGAACTGAGTGGCTAACACGCTACAAATTAACTTACATGTCCTGTCTCTGGAGTTTGTTTTAAGGCATTTGGAAAATGTAAGAAATCGTTGCCGCAACAGTATAGGAAGCGCAGGTCATATAATAACTTTGTATGTAGCATTGGAAGAGGATCTAAACCAGGATTCTCCCTTTAAGACTCACTACTCACCAAACTTTTTACTCAG